GACGTTTTTTCATGATTTTTGACGACATACTATTCTATGAAGTTTTTTCATGATTTTTGGCGACATACTATACTATACTACAACGTTTTTTCATGATTTTTGGCAACATGCTATACTATGACTTTTTTCGGGATTTTTGACGACATACTATTCTATGAAGTTTTTTCATGATTTTTGGCGACATACTATACTATACTACGACGTTTTTTCATGATTTTTGGCAACATGCTATACTATGACTTTTTTCGGGATTTTTGACGACATACTATTCTATGAAGTTTTTTCATGATTTTTGGCGACATACTATACTATACTACAACGTTTTTTCATGATTTTTGGCAACATGCTATACTATGACTTTTTTCGGGATTTTTGACGACATACTATTCTATGAAGTTTTTTCATGATTTTTGGCGACATACTATACTATACTACGACGTTTTTTCATGATTTTTGGCAACATGCTATACTACGTTTTTTCATGATTTTTGACAACTTAATACACTATGATGTTTTTTTGTGATTTTCGACGACATACTATGCCATGATGTTTTTTCATGATTTTTGACGACATACTAACCTATGACTTTTTTTCATGATTTTTTTGGACACTTATACTATGACATTTTTTCGGGATTGATGATTTTTGGCGATATGCTATACTATGAGGTTTTTCATGATCTTTGACTAAATACTATATATATTATGATGTTTTTTCATGATTTTTGACAACTTATTACACTATGACGTTTTTCGGGATTTTTGACAACATATTATACTATGACTTTTTTTGATGATTTGTGGCGACATACTATACTATGACGTTTTTTCATGATTTTCGAAGACATGCTATGCCATGACGTTTTTTCATGATTTTCGACAACATACTAACCTTTGACTTTTTTTCATGACTTTTGGCGACATGCTATACTATGACGTATTTTCATGATTTTTGAAGACATACTAACCTATGACTTTTTTCATGACTTTTGGCGACATGCTATATTATGACGTTTTTTCATTATTTTTGATGACATACTATACTATGACTTTTTTTCATGACTTTTGGTGACATACTATGACGTTTTTTCATGATTTTCGAAGACATTCTATGCCATGATGTTTTTTCATGATTTTCGAAGACATACTAACCTATGACTTTTTTTCATGACTTTTGGCGACATGCTATACTATGACGTTTTTTCATTATTTTTGATGACATACTATACTATGACTTTTTTTCATGACTTTTGGTGACATACTATACTATAACGTTTTTTCATTATTTTTGACGACATACTAACCTATGACTTTTTTTCATGACTTTTGGCAACATGCTATACTATGACGTTTTTTCATGATTTTTGGCAACATATTATACTATGACTTTTTTCGGGATTTTTGAAGACTTACAATACTATGACATTTTTTCAAGATTTTTGACGACATACTATACTACGACTTTTTTTCATGATTTGTGGCGACATACTATTCTATGAAGTTTTTTCATGATTTTTGGCGACATACTATACTACGACATTTTTTCATGATTTTGGCAACATGCTATACTACGTTTTTTCATGATTTTTGACAACTTAATACACTATGATGTTTTTTTGTGATTTTCGACGACATACTATGCCATGATGTTTTTTCATGATTTTTGACGACATACTAACATATGACTTTTTTTCATGATTTTTTGGAGACATACTATACTATGATGTTTTTTCATGATTTTTAACAACATGCTATACAATGACGTTTTTTCAGGATTTTTGATGACATGTTATACTATGACTTTTTTCATGATCTATGAAGACTTATTACTATGACTTTTTTTGGGATTTTTGACGACATACTATACTATGACTTTTTTTCATGATTTTTGAAGATTTATTATACTATGATGTTTTTTCATGATTTTTGAGAACTTATTACACTATGATGTTTATTTGTGATTTTTGAAGACTTATTATACTATGAAATTTTTTCGGGATTTTTGATGACATGCTATACTATGATGTTTTTTCGTGATTTTTGACAGCTTATTACACCATTACGTTTTTTCATGATTTTCGGCTACATACTATGCCATGATGTTTTCTCATGATTTTTGACGACATACTCCACTATAATGAAGCTCAGCGTAAGTTCAATCAGGAAGACCTTTCTTGTGCTCATTCATTCATAACTCTCTCCATCCTACTCCCACTGCTTCCTCTAATCAGCTGACTATGGGTGTTCACTCCTCTAGTTATCCAATCACACTTTGCCATGATCTCTCTCAGCCAATCAGGATGCCACTGCAAAATTTAAATCCGCTCTCTCTTCTGTTGCTGTCAGCCATCATTTTAGGCCGAATCTTCACACTCGCCTCCACCCCGGTCACCTCCAGCCATCGTATCCAGAGTCCAGGTCAAGCTAAACAAAGGCTCACTCTTCTACTCATCCACATGATCATCATTTCTCCATCTTCCTCTCATCGCATCTTCACCACTTCCACCACCACCAGCATCTAGACCCCGGGGGGGTTCCTGATTTGACTATGGATTCATCATCCTCCTGAAATCACACCATCTCTACGGGGTCTAATCGCCAAAGACTTTTCACATTTTGCATTCTTATGTGCACATGTAAATAAATATTGTTTTGCTATCAAAACGTGTCTCTCCTGATTGAAATGTTCTTTTCATGACTTCTGACGACGTACTATACTATGACATTTTTTCATGATTTCTGACGACATGCTATACTATGACTTTTTTTCATGATTTTTGGTGACATGCTATACTATGATGTTTTTTCATGATTTTGGACGACATGCTATACTATGACTTTTTTTCATGATTTTTGGTGACATACTATACTATGATGTTTTTTCATGATTTTTGACGACATGCTATACTATGACGTTTTTTCATGATTTTTGACTACATGCTATACTATGATGTTTTTTCATGATTTTTGACGACATGCTATACTATGACGTTTTTTCATGATTTTTGACGACATGCTATACTATGATGTTTTTTCATGATTTTTGACAACATGCTATACTATGACTTTTTTTCATGATTTTTGGCGACATACTATGACGATTTTTCATGATTTTCGACGGCATACTATAATATGATCTTTTTTCATACGTTTTGGTGACATGCTATACAATGCCTTTTTTTCATGATTTTTGGCGACATTCTATACTATGACATTTTTTCATGATTTTTGACGACATACTATACTATTACATTTTTCATGATTTTTGACAACATACTATACTAAGACGTTTTTTCAAGATTTTTGACAACATGCTATAGTATGACAATTTTTCATGATTTTTTGCAACATACTATACCATGATGTTTTTTTCCGCCATTTTTGATGACATACTATACTATGAATTTTTTTCATCATTTTTGACGACATAGTACACTATGACGTTTTTTCATGATTTTTGACGGCATACCATAGTATAATTTTTTGGCAATTTTTGATGACATACTATATACTATGATGGTTTTCATGATTTTTGAAGAGAAACTATACTGTGACGTTTTATTTTTTAAAATGACATACTATTCTATGATGTTTTAAAAAAATGATTCAATGACTTTTCATGTTTTTTTTAAATCACATACTATAGTATGACGTCTTACAAAAATGACATACTATACTGTGACTTTTTATGATTTTTTAAAATGACATACTATACCATGACTTTTTATTTTTAAAATGACTTTCTGTACAACGAGTTTTTATGATTTCTTTAGAATGACATACTGTACTATGACTTTTTGTGATTATTAAAATGACAAACTATACTATGACTTTTTTGGATTTTTTAAAATGTCATACTATACTATGACTTCTTATGATTTTTTCTGCAACTATCTCATCTAAAGCTGTGTGTTCACCAAATCTGAAGACTCTGTGAGGTGTGCACATTCTTACGCACATTCTTCCTTTATAAATACCACTTAATGTAAGGGAAAATGGCCTACGCATTCTTTTTGTGCATTGGCATTGTTACATATATCTGGTACCTGGTCTCTATCGTACATTTATGTACACATACCATCATGGGTACTTGTTAAGATATTACATTTTATACTTTATATATAATCTTTTATCAAAGTTCACGTACATGCAGTAAATGTGTCATGTGTATATGTGTTATGGGGAACAAGGTTGTTTCTAGCTCTGAATTTACTTTTTCTAATAACCTTTGCATCAGGTTAGTCACTCAGTTCAGCTTCTTGTGCCTAGTTCCCAACCCGCCTATCTGAATTCTGTTGTATTGACAGAGCGGTCCACAGATTTATCTCAAAGAAGACAATTTAGTTGTTCTATCTTAACATCATACATGTATAAATTTATGCCATCACTTGATACTTGTGTTACCGGTTAGACCTCAAAGTGGCAATGAGGTCCTAAAATGTATGATCAGGGTCTTGAAAAAGGTCTTAGATATTAGATTTACCTTCAGGATTCCTTCATATACTCTGCTATGAGTCTGTATTTGTGAAGGACATGCTGTACAATGTTTGCATTGTATGTCCCAGCTTACACATGCAAACGTTTCATATCTTTTGGAGCCTTTAAGATGCTTGAAGCTGTACTCGTGACTTTGATAATGTTGCACTAACAGGATTATTGAGACGTTTCAGTCGTCGTGGAGGTACCAAAGAGATTTTCTTACCTGACCTATTTTTTTCACTGTTTGGATTCTTGTGAGAGCACATGAAAGACTCCACCAGGAAACTGAATAATGCATTTATCTCTTCCTCTATTTGCTGAGCCAAGTCCCTGCTGTGTGTTCTCCATATTCTGCAAACAATAGCTAGAGATAGTGATAAAGTAAAATAGATGGTTAGCAAGATATCAAATTATTTCACATCAGCTTTTTGAAAAGTCTGTTTTTCTGCCTGAGACATATTTTTGGCTTGAGCTAAAATCCTAAGGTGTGTGCATCTGTGAACAGAAAGTCGTTGGGCCGATAACCATTTCTTTGTATTTATTTGAATAAATTACATTGACTTGTCACTTTTTTTTTTCTTTACATCAAGCATACAGTCGTAGTATCCAGTGCAAGAATGAAACAAAACTAAAAACAGAAAACAAACAAAACAGAAAAACAATCCAAAGACAATCATGTGTAGCACAGAGAATCCCTTCTTTCACATTGCTTTTGGATAATATACTGTATATATACATCTATACTGTATGTGTATACTTTTGTCACAGTTACAAAAATAAGATACGTTACTGTAGATGCCCGACTATACACACAAGGTGAAAACAAAACACAGAAAAGCTGTACAGTCCTCATTGAGGGCAAAGATACACACGATTGTTAAACAAAAGTGAAAGAGAAAAAGAAGGAAGGAATAGTTTTGCCGTTAAGAAATAAATAAATACATGACCTTCAAACTGTGTTTTTATTCTTCCCCAGCCGACAAAGCATACTGTCTGTTAAAGTTGTGCTTCCCTTGATAAAAAAAACAACAACACTTAGTATGGGTACCAGTTGATTTTGCATCGTTTCTTGTAATTCTACTGAATATAATGAATTGGTCCATTGATTAAAGACACATCCATGTTTGTTTTAATGTGGAAACACTGTCAGAGACAGTATATCTTTAATACCTCAGCATCAGAGGTCCTCCGTAACCCCGTCCCTGTGCATAACAAATACTGTATGCAGACCCAAACCCCTTCCCCAAAGTACACGCACAACATCACTACAAGATGGGTGAAAAAACAGTGTTAACTGCTGCACAGATTATTTTGCAGAAAGGTTTAATACATTGTCGACATCGCAGAAAATAAAAACCCTGGGCATAATGTGTGCACTGCGGCACCTCACTGCTTTGCTGACCAAAACCTGTACTGTCTGCAGTAACTGAGTGTGGTCGGATTTCTAGATTATTAGTACATCATTTAAAGAGGGAGAAAAATCCCACACAACACTGCATACAACCAAATAATTGGGAAGAGAAAATGAAACATAATCTTGCATTTTTTCTGAGGTCTAACTTGACGTGAAAAGGGTAAACCAGCGTTTTTTAGTCAATATAATGTTGGAGAAAAGGGGGTTGCATCATTCCAATAAATAAAACATATCCACCGAGACAAAAAGTAATTATTTTTATTCCATTCAGCCATTTGTGCGCTCCTGGCTATGTCTAGTTTTGTCTTAATCAATGGCTTATAGACAGCTAAACTACAGAATACTAATCGGACTAGTAGGGATGCAGCAAAAAGAGCTACATCGTCAACAGTTGCCCCAACAAGCAGTTAAGTCCTATAAGTTATTATATCACAATACATCAACCATTTTTCACACAAGCTGCTGATAAAATACACGTTGGAGGATTTAAACGTACGCACCAGAGTTTTCTCACGTCACTTCACAACTTGTGTTTTTGCAAATCATGTCGTCACTCCACTAATCACTGGCTCAGATAGGTAAAATGTCACATACACAGGAATACAGTTTCGCCCCTCTTGATAAAAATACCAAAGAGTTAGAGATTGCAAAGCTTCACCCTGTTGCGTCGCACAGATTCACACCATGACACCGTGCTGTCTGGAAGCTAAACTTGGAGTTGACTCTGGTTTTGCAGGTAACTTTGGTATCTAAATCACATATGACCAATCACGCGCATATGTTATGTAAAAAAATAAATAAAGAAATATGATGGGTAACCTTGGTTGTTAGTTATTAACTAGATGACTCTAGTCTACAACTTCTGTCAAAACTCTGAGTAGTTAAAAGGTGAGGACATCCTTTGGACAGAGATTTGGACGCCGAGAGACGACGACCATTAAAAAAGAGGAATATTCAAAACAGAACAAAAATCAGCTCAACATATTTTTAGATAGAAGATAAAACGTTAAACACTTGAAACCATGCTTGACCTAGAGTCTCTAACAAACATGAAGCACGTGGACCAATTTTTTTTTTTTTTTCCTAGTATGTGAGAGAAAAGTTTCTATCTACTGTAGAGGTTTCCACAAAGTACAGTGAATGAGAGAAAAGAGTGATTTTGCAAAGCTGCTCTGATAAACTCACAGAAGTCATGACGTACTGACAGCCAACTCAAACCGAGACAGAAGCCGGAACAGCAATGGATAAAATGACTATGGAAGCCTGAAGGAACCTCCTGGGATAAGGGGGAAGCAACGACATAAACGCTGATTTTTCCTCATTTGAAGTTTTTACGCTTAACTGGTGCATACCTGCTTTAACTCGTCAATCTTCTTTCGTTATTGTGTTGCTGCTGTTTTGACTCCTTTAAAGCGGAGTGCAGGTGGTTGGTAGGAATGTTAAGGAAAAGGTTACCAGGAATACTCGGGGTGGGGGGGGGGGACTGGAGGCCAGGATCTGTTTCGCCACTGTTGCAGACACAGCTGATAGTGGTGTCATCCTAGTGGGGCAGCGGCACCAGGATATCCACATAGTTGATGGGGAAGAAGCCAGAGTTCCCGTGCAGCATCCCCTCGTACCAGTTGTCATCGATCTTATTGGTCAGGGTGATGATATCGCCTTCCTTGAAGCCTAGCTCACCTTCATTCTCGGGGTCAAAATCATACAGTGCACGACAGCAGGGCTGGTCCATGGGGGCTGGAGAACGAGTTGGAGAGATAAGAGAAGAAGAGTTAGAGGAGAGGCTGGAGGTATGAGATAAGATGCTGCATACAGATTGAAGACGTAATGATTGCTTGTGAAAGGCTCACCTGGAGACCTGGCTGAAAGAGGGAAAGAGAAGAGGAAGATACAGTAAGGAGGAGAGACAAAGAGAGACACAAAACATGACCATCAGTGACCGCAAAATAATAATGAGGCATACAATGTTTAAAGGAATAGTTCTTCATTTGGAGAAATACGCTTGTTCTCTTTCTGGTGGAGGATTGATACAACTCGCATATCAGTCTGTTAAGGCTACAGCCAGCTAGCTTAGCTTCAATAAAGACTGGAAACATGTCTCATACACGGTGTGGGAGATGCAGGAGCGGCTGTGTGTTGCTCTTTAAAAGGGGTCGGGCATTTAATCAGATGTACACTTGCAAACCAAACCAGTTAGTCATCATCCTTAGAGGCTTTTCTCTTGTAAAACCAAAAAATATTCTTTAAAAACACTTCAGATAAAACATTAAAGCCGTTTCCCACCTGTGTGAAAACTCATAAGTAGTGCCTATGTCCCCTCCTCACAGCAGAAACCTATCCAGACAGAGAATAGTATCCTGAAAACAAACACCCACTGCTCTGAAGTCCCATTTCTCTGAAAAAATACACTCCTCTTGCAGTTACAAAGATTCATGGCCTGCAACTACACCACTCCAAACATCAGACCTTCAATCTGACAAACAATCGCCCGTCCATAAAGAAACAAGAGTATCTTATTCTTAAGCTCTTACTACCATTGTAACATCACTGCTGTATGGAACATGGCCTAATGCCAACTAGGGAAGAAGGATTGTGTGATTAAGGTCCGACAGAGTAGCACCCAGTGGTCCAGTGACATTATATGATATATTTGGGAGCAAGGCCACACCCCAACCAAACCTCTGATTACCTTCCAGGCCTACTTACACCTGGACAATCTCTCCTGCCGTTTGTCTCAGATTTCTCAACCCATCCTCTCTTTCCCTTCCCTTCATCCATCATCCTCCCTACTTAATCCCTACCAACATTCCTTCATCCTCTCTTCCCTTCTCCCCTCATCTCTTCTGATTCAGTGCATACCTCTTCCATGTCTCAGTCTAGGCGGGAAAACACCTGAGACGGAACTCCCACACTGAGTCTCCCTCTGTCCGATCTCCAGTACATCCTCCCATATCAACCTAAGAGAAGACACCCCTCTTCCACCTTCACCCCCCACTTCCATCCATTCACTAGTCCTCAAAAATGAACACCTCCTGAATTACAGTTAAACATTTAAACGACACATTGTTTTGGCATGGTCCTTGCTGGTGAATCTGCATAACAGAAGTTTGTTTGAGACTGTGATCAACATATAAAGTTAGCAAGTTCATATCAGCTACATTAGCATCTTCGTTGAATCCCAGCTGAAGCAGAAACCAAACTGATAAGACAATCCCCATTTAAGCAGCAAAAGGTATGTCCTGGCGGTGCGACATCATTCGGAACAAAGGGTTTAATTCGTCAGCATTTAATACTGCAGGTGGAAAATTGCAAAAAAAAATTGAAGGCCGTCCAAATATTTTTTCCCCAGAACAAATGTTACACTGGGGTGTGCAAGCATTCATCTCTATAAATTTCCGTGCTATTTTTTTCGGGACAAAAATCCGTACTTGGTGTGAAGCGGCTTTAAAATCTCACCTTTGTGTTTCTTGTTGAAGTTTCAAGTGTAAAATGGACTCATTGTTGCCCCTTGTGGCCAAAACAGCCACTACAACAGTAGTTATTTCCAATATCGTGTGTCACACAGTGACTGGCTTTTTGCCTAAACCTCACCCTGCTGTATTGTGATTGGCTTATACTTGTCGAGGTCTGAAGCAGTTAGGATAAGGGCAGCGGTGCTGGGTTAGTAAAAACAAGTCATAGGAACTCATGGGGAAAAAAATAACACATCCCAAACCTAGCTAGAGGAAGCAGCTAATCTGGCTCCCTTGTTAACATGCTGTATCTCATTTGTTTGATCCATATCCAAACCAAGTGTAAAAAAAAAGCTGTAAAAATGAAAATCCACAAATTTATGGGGATATGTTTTTGGGTCCAGCCACAAACCGAGACACTGAGACATAGTGTAGCACATAAGCTATAATCAAATAACAGAATTAGTCAGCTAGTAGGCAGATTTTGTTATCTCTAGACAGAGCCAGGCCAGCTGTTTCCCCCGATATTTATGCTAAGCTAACTGGCTGCTGCGTCATGTTTAGCGTCCGGACATGAGAGTCGAATCTACCTCCTCATCTAACTCAGAGCGAATTGATAAAAAGCACATTTCCCAAAATGTCAAACTATTCCTTTAACAAAGGAACTATGAGCAGTTTGAGAAAAAAAAAAACAGGGACAAAAGAGAAACCAGGGGTTAGACAGAAACAGCACTGCAGACGAGCTGCACTGCCAACACAAGTGAAACAGCACTGCAGACGAGCTGCACAGCCAACACAAGTGAAGACAAATATACATGTTCACAAAAGTCCATTTAAAGAAGGATAAAAATAAGAGTGATAGAGAGATTTTGCATCTCTTCCCACATCACCCTTGCTCACCTGGAGATCTTGCTGCAAAGGGGGAAGGAAAAAAGAAAGGTGAATAAAGAGCATAGGCGTTTATGTTTAACAGCATTTTCTAGATGGATTCATGATGAACTGATGGGTAAGTACAGCAGGCGGAGAAATGAAAAGGTCAATAAACAAAACAAGAAGTTGGAGTATGATTTGGCAGAGAGGCGGACAAAGAAACAGGAGGATAAGATTGATCAGAAGATTGACAAGGGAACAAAACAGAAACAGCAAATGCTCGTCCGCTGGTAAGCTTTTCTTTGTTACAATAGGTTGGGCTGTCTTTGTACAGCGAGCGGACAGCACTTGTTTTTCTGCTGTTTGATTGTAACAATTTTCTCATGACAAAGAGACAAACAGAAAGAGAAATGGACAAAAAACAACCAAGAATGACGAAGTGATGGAAGAGATATTGTTGTATCTCTCCGGGGATTCACTTTTGTCTCACCTGGAGACCTTGCTGCAAAGAGTTAAGAGGAAACAACACGAGGGAGAGCGGAGGGGGGGGGGCGGGGGTGGGGGGCAGAGGGGACAGAGAGCAGTCGAAGTAGTTTTGAGTTTAAAGTGTAAATGAAAGGATTTTGTTAAAGAAATGAGCTGGTGAGTACACAGACAGAAAAACATTTTGACCTGGCTCACCTGGAGACCTCGCCCCTGGAAGAATAAACAAAAATCATAAAGGGGAAAGAGAAGAGCGCAGAGTTGTATTGATTAGTTCTGGACTGATGGATATTCTGTTCAGTACAGGTAATAACTGAAAAGTTGGGAACTGAAAGAGCTGTGAAAAAGATAAAATTAGAAAACAGTAAATTCTCAAATATTTGCATTTATATTCAAGTAATTTAAGTTATTTGTTTCACTCTTACATGATTTTTCTTCTGCTATTTGTAAGACCAACTGCTATTGTCTTCTTTAATGTCGAAGTAATTATATCATGGATGCAAACTGTGTGTTGTGTATTTCTGCGTGTTTGTCTATGCTTATACTTAATACATTTGAAACCTGGAGCGACATCATTTTTCTTGTGCTGCTTTCAGATGCCTTTCGTAAGTATCTAAACCTTTGAACCCTCAGCAAATTGGTGTGATTTCTTTCAAAAACATGGCGAAAAAGGCAATGAGCAACTTGGTAAGAAATTTTCCAGAAATTCCAAAAAATGTATGGATTTAGAAAATTATTTTTAAAAGGCTAGGGAAAAACATATTTATAATTATCATTATTTTATATTTAAAATTATTTTACAAAATTATTATAATTTTAGCTCTCCTTTACCAGGTTATTGTCTTGTTTTTTCTTCCCCCCCTTTGGTAAGAAATTTTCCAGAAATTTCAAAAAATTAATACATTTAGAAAATTATTTTTAAAAGGCTACAGAAACACTATATTTATAATTATCATTATTTTATATTTAAAATTATGTTACAAAATTATTATAATTTTCAAGCTTCTTTATCCATGTCATTTCCTTTTTTTCAAAACTAATTTGTTTTTTGTTTTTTATTTTCTCTTTTTACTTATTTCTTGCAATTTTTTGGGTCATTTCTTCTTTTTCATTTTTGAAAGAAACCAGGCCAATTGCTCAGGTTTCAAAGAGTTAAAAAAGGAGATCTCAGTTAGGCTAATTGTTAAAATAAAGGATTGTCTATAAATTGTTTTATCATATTTTACCCCTTTTTTTGTACTATTGGTTTATTATTGTAAGCGTTTGCTGTCCATGCAAAAAATTTAACACATTCCTTATAATATGTTTCACATTAAAAGACTTCTAGCACTTAATCATTATTTTTTCCTGGAACGCTTTTATTGTGAAATATCTGCAGGAAATGTTACATTTTTAATACATTCACTTGAGAAAAAAAATCTGCTCCATTTGTCTGAATTACCAAATTTGTGATCTCAAATTTTGGAGAAAAAGTTTTTATGGAAAAAAAAAGACCTCGCTTTTCTGAATTAATGAGGCAGTTATCTCAAGAACAAAATGAGAATTAAAACAAGCAGATTTTTTTTTCATGAAAACTTTTCTCAGAATTCTGAGATAATAATCAATTTATTTCAGAAATACAGGGCAAATATGTTTCTCTCAAGTGAATGCATTACGCTTCCATTCATTTTAAGCACATTAAATGGACCAAAATGAATCAGTGAGTGAGTGTGTTGTACAGATTAAACATGCCGTTTACATTTCTCTAACTTTACCCTGCAATGCATTACAATACATTTACAAAATTTTTGTCTTTGCTTTTATTCTTTGGCCTTTATTTGTAAGAAAAGAGAATCAGTTTTGGCTTTTATTTGAGAATTTACAGCACAAATTAAAACCCTAGAAGGACAGAGGATTGTGAATGAATAGAAACTAGGCCAGAAACTATCCTTCAAAGGCACATACTTACAAATACAAATTTCACTGATTTACATGTTTTATTGTTCTGTCTTAACATCAGCTGAAACAGAAACAGATTCCCCAATTATACTACAGAGTATTTCCAGTACCAGGACTAGTTTCTGGACATGTTTCTGAGCCATGAGGTTTGTACCCTGGGTCTCACCTGGAGAGCGAGCACTGTGGATGCCTCCATTGTGGTTCTCACTGATGGAGAAGTCCAGAGATGTACGTGGCTTAGGAGCGAACTCTCTCCTCGGTTTGTTAGCGGCGTCCCTTATCCTGCTTAAACACCCAAATGCACAATTGAAAGCGATTAGCATTAAACACAGTGTGTTCCTGAGGAAACGCAAGATTAGACATGACAGAAATTTGACGTTATTGTTAAGACATCAAAAACGTATGGTAAAAGAAGACCAGGGGAAACAGGGAGTGTGACTACTGACCGTTCGTCGATCTTACTGGAGAGCTGTGAGAGGATCTCAGCAGCCCGGCTGTGGTACTCCACCTGGGCATGGACCAGTGCAGCCAGCTGGCTCACCTGTTCAATCTGTTGAAGATGAGCAGGGTCTACTGTTACACACTGACACCATGACCACTCACACATCACCTGTAAAGATGACTGTTAGTGAGATCTGGACTCAAATTCACCCCAAACTCCAATGTTAAAAGTAATAACAGAGGGTTGTACAGGGTTGACATAGAACGCTCCAGACCAGCTACTTGTAGAACTTGGTTGGTTGGTCGATCCACTAAAATTCCCCACTCTTTGGAGTTTTTTCCCCCAGGAGGCTGAAAATTGACATGAAGGTCAAGTGCATGTGTTTGTGCTTGTAAGAATCGCAAAAAGGCACATAACTTCTAAATGGATTTGCTTGCTCAAGATTTTGTGGACAGATTGGTCATGAACCGAAGGACAGCAGATTAACTGCTCATGGCAGTTGGCAAAAAGGGGCAATTCATGCGTGTATGTGATTGCAGTTTTTGTGAATTTGCGCTTGTTTTTATGCCACTTGGGGCAGCACAAAACTTCATAACAACCCGAGAAACAAAGACACTTTAAAGAGGTGTTATGACTATGCAAATAAATTGTAGCAAACAGCTGCCTATTGCAGCATCTAGCAGTAAATAGAGAATGATCAGTGGAGACTTTCAGTGGAGTCATGATAAGTCCACCTGGTGAATCTAAGATTGCAAGGCATTCTCACACCAACTTCATCACATATTGATGTTTGGATCCAGATATGACGTGCAAGGTACCCTGGGTGCGTTGGTTGTTGACATTCTGGGACACTGTGTCAAGTTCTGCCTGTTACATGCATTGTCTTCTTTCAAAATACACTTCTGTTTTCAGGAAATGTAACGTTTACATACAGTCTCTTTCAAAGTAAGTGCAGTACATTGGTACAATATTGCAAATTGATGGGGTTTTTTTCCACAACAAACAACAAAAACATGTGGTTAGGTTTTGAAAAAAGAACAGGATTTGGCTTTATAATCTTACGGGACGCGAACACTACTCTCCCAGGTGAAAGTTGGTGTTTGGTGGACCCATCCATCACCCCTCACGCCTGCCCCACTCAGATTTTCGCCACCTTTACTTTCATTCCTGCCACGTTTCCCCCTGGCTGTGTAACATGCTGATATTAAAGGACGGCTTTTTTCGTCAGTGTCTGGCGTCCCAAGTCAACAAAAGGGTGAACAAAAGGGTTCCTCAACTTGTTCATCTGACTCTGTGGGACTCCTAAATTCCCTCCAGGCATTTCCCGAGATATCACACTCACGAGACAAAGAACCTGAAATCATAACGCCTCTGGCTACAGCTGTCACCGGCAATGAGACATAAAAAGAACAGGGCTGTGATCCCCCTTGATTAACATGGTTTGAGGAGGACAAAAAAGCAATGGGAATGGTTGTGGTTACTGTCAATGCAACAGTGGAGAGTAAAAGACAGTTCAGTAAACTGGCTAGGTTGACAAACTCAATAAAACCTGTCGACTGTGTCAATGGTGAGTGCAAAGAAGAGAGGTGTGAAATATAATTCTTACATCACTCTCCAACAGGTTGAACATGCTCTGCTCAGCAATCTCCTTGGAGTCGTCGAATTTCTCTAGAGCCTGTTTGATCTCGTCATCTGTCACTTTGCCTTGACGTTTCTTCTTATAATCAAAGTCGAGACGGCGACCCTCCATTTTCTTCAGGTGATGCTGCAAAAGAAGAAAATAAAGCGGTTAATCTGAAACTCTGACCAAGACATGATTTAGATTATTAGTTTTTTCTCACTTGTGGTGCATCAAAGTTTTGCACTCATACCTGAATCTCCTTGAGATCTTTTTCATGGAGGTTCTGCAGTGGATCAATGAAGTTCTGCTTGACCTCCATGTCCAAAGCGTCCTTGACCTCTCCTAGCTCACGCATGGCTTCCCCAGCATCAATCAGAGCAAGGCCTGGGAAAATAAGGACACATGTAGACACTTAAAACACATGAATAGCACACAACTCAGTGTCAGTGCATAGTGTAGAAAACTGGTCTGGAGTGACACTATCTCATTAAAATCCATCACACATTTTGAAGGCATTTATTTCTCTTGAAACAACATTTTAACGCCATTACTTGTGGACTAAATAACTTAAGGCGACTTGTCTGAAAAATAGGCTCATGCATTTTTCATAACATTGTTACTGCGTCCTTGAGGGAATGAAATGATGCCACTTTGTTCTTGTGTCTGGCACATTTAAAAAAAAGTGTTCCTCTCTTTCTGCCAGGAGCTTTACTGTATGCAGCTCACCGAAGTTAGACTCCTCTCCGAGCTCCCTGCCAAACCTCTGCATGGACTCTCCCAGGATGGCCTCGGTCTGCGTGTAGCCTGGTCCCTTCTCCTGTCCCCGCATACGTGACATGGAGTTCATCATGCTCATCTTGGCTCTGGTGGCTGTGAAGGCAAACGAGACCAAACACCACCATTCAGTCATACTATTTGGAGACACAGGTTTAAATGGCCAATAATAATCCATAATATACAGTCAGGATGAGGTAGAGGTCTTCTTTAAATCAACATTCTGTCTCAGGGGCTGTCCACACCAACACGGGTATTTATAAAACCGTGACTCTTTGCTCATGGTTTGGCCTTTCATCCACATGTAACCGCAGTTTTGGGCCCCTGTAACCGGAGTTATTTGTAACTGGAGTCCAGGGTGAACTTTTTGGAAAAGTCCGGTGTCAGCAGTCATGTGTGGACAGGATAACCGCAGTTATTTTGTCTCGTCTCCATTGTATGACATCACAGCATGCGACGTAAACAGAAAACATTGCGTACGCACAAAACGAGGCCTGAAAGAGGCCGTGCTTACGGACATTTTGGAGATGGGGAACTTGTGACGCAGATGGTGAGGTAGAAGCCTGATTATAGAAATTGTCAATTATTTTTTGGCGCACACCATTTTTAGCTATTGTCCATGCGTACATTTGTAGTGTGGATCCTATGCACTGTTTCATAAATGAGAATCCAGGTGATTTTCAATTGTTAAAAACACTAAATAAATCAGTTGGACGTCACAAATCAGTGTTTTTCCAATGCTGGTCATTAAAGAGGGGCTGCTAATTATGGTGGTCGACCCAAAAACACAAATGGCCCTATCTAGAGTCAGTGTTTGGTTTGTCCATTCTTGGCTCATGTAGAAACATAGCGGACAAAGACCAGCTCCCTGGTAACAAAAGGTAACAAAACCCCCCCACAATGATTCTTATTTTCAGGTGTTTATACAGAGAAGACATAGAAAGAAAACATACTTACTATACTATATTCCATTCCTGCCAATGTATATTCTTATATTATACACACTGGACCTTTAAAATAATTTCAACTTGATGTGTTAGTCCAGTTGGTGAATATCAAACTACATTTATCTTCGTAACTGACTGTCAGTGCTACTTTTTCCTCTCACATCCCCATCTGTCTGTGTCTGACTGAGTCTTTTCCAACAACCTCGAGTTTTCCCAACCTGTGAAAAAAACTGAGGGTTTTCTTTTTTCATCTGATGTTGCATCATGCTGCTAGTTTAATACCACAAAGTGAACGTATGATGTAATTGATCAGTTCATTAAACCCTGCTGAGCTTCATATAAATTTAACACTTTCTTCTGATGGTAGCAGAGGCTCTTTTTATTAAAGGTTGGAGATAAACATCATGTCAACATTAAGAAGAGAGGCAGGAATTAGTAGATAGATCCCAGACTGAAAACTAAAGTACTTAAAAAATACTAATACAGTGGTTGTTTTACTTGGATGGGACATTTACTATTGCAGTTAGTAATATAAAATATGTACAGTATGAATATGCGACTATGTATAAATGAACATGTATATACAGTACAGGCCAAAAGTTTGGACACACCTTCTCATTCAATGCGTTTTCTTTATTTTCATGACTATTTACATTGTAGATTCTCACTGAAGGCATCAAAACTATGAATGAACACATGTGGAGTTATGTACTTAACAAAAGAAGGTGAAATAACTGAAAACATGTTTTATATTCTAGTTTCTTCAAAATAGCCACCCTTTGCTCTGATTACTGCTTTGCACACTCTTGGCATTCTCTCCATGAGCTTCAAGAGGTAGTCACCTGAAATGGTTTCCACTTCACAGGTGTGCCTTATCAGGGTTAATTAGTGGAATTTCTTGCTTTATCAGTGGGGTTGGGACCATCAGTTGTGTTGTGCAGAAGTCAGGTTAATACACAGCCGACAGCCCTATTGGACAACTGTTAAAATTCATATTATGACAAGAACCAATCAGCTAACTAAAGAAAAACGAGTGGCCATCATTTCTTTAAGAAATGAAGGTCAGTCAGTCCGGAAAATTGCAAAAACTTTAAATGTGTCCCCAAGTGGAGTCGCAAAAACCATCAAGCGCTACAACGAAACTGGCACACATGAGGAACGACCCAGGAAAGGAAGACCAAGAGTCACCTCTGCTTCTGAGGATAAGTTCATCCGAGTCACCAGCCTCAGAAATCGCAAGTTAACAGCAGCTCAGATCAGAGACCAGATGAATGCCACACAGAGTTCTAGCAGCAGACCCATCTCTAGAACAACTGTTAAGAGGAGACTGCGCGAATCAGGCCTTCATGGTCAAATAGCTGCTAGGAAACCACTGCTAAGGAGAGGCAACAAGCAGAAGAGATTTGTTTGGGCCAAGAAACACAAGGAATGGACATTAGACCAGTGGAAATCTGTGCTTTGGTCTGATGAGTCCAAATTTGAGATCTTTGGTTCCAACCGCCGTGTCTTTGTGAGACGCAGAAAAGATGAACGGATGGATTCCACATGCCTGGTTCCCACTGTGAAGCATGGAGGAGGAGGTGTGATGGTGTGGGGGTGTTTTGCTGGTGACACTGTTGGGGATTTATTCAAAATTGAAGGCACACTGAACCAGCATGGCTACCACAGCATCCTGCAGCGACATGCCATCCCATCCGGTTTGCGTTTAGTTGGACGATCATTTATTTTTCAACAGGACAATGACCCCAAACACACCTCCAGGCTGTGTAAGGGCTATTTGACCAAGAAGGAGAGTGATGGAGTGCTGCGGCAGATGACCTGGCCTCCACAGTCACCGGACCTGAACCCAATCCAGATGGTTTGGGGTGAGCTGGACCGCAGAGTGAAGGCAAAGGGGCCAACAAGTGCTAAACACCTCTGGGAACTCCTTCAAGACTGTTGGAAAACCATTTCAGGTGACTACCTCTTGAAGCTCATGGAGAGAATGCCAAGAGTGTGCAAAGCAGTAATCAGAGCAAAGGGTGGCTATTTTGAAGAAACTAGAATATAAAACATGTTTTCAGTTATTTCACCTTTTTTTGTTAAGTACATAACTCCACATGTGTTCATTCATAGTTTTGATGCCTTCAGTGAGAATCTACAATGTAAATAGTCATGAAAATAAAGAAAACGCATTGAATGAGAAGGTGTGTCCAAACTTTTGGCCTGTACTGTATGTCTGTACATATAATGTGCGTGGGTGCTTTTACAGCACATTTTAGAGAATGTTTTTCTCTAACAATTTTATCTTGACTCTTGGGAGACCAGCCTTTGGTCTAAATTTAAACACTGTCACATTATCGTCTTGCACAGCTTGTTTATGTCACCTGGGTTTGGCTGCAGATACTCAGTAGTCTTGGTAATGATGTCCATCACTGCCCGAGAGGTGGTGTCCATCTTCTGTAAACCACAAACAACATGTAGAAGGAGACAGAAACAGAAAGTGCCGAAAAAAACAGTTAAGGAGAGATGTAGAAAAAAAAGGTAATGGCTGAGCGCCTGTGGGAGAGGATGAAAGAAATACAACAGCCCTAAAATAATTTATGCATCTAATAGTGAGAAAGGAACGAGATAAAAGAAAGTGTTGCTTTGTTCTGCAACATGGTGAGAGAGACATGCAGAGCTGAGAGCTGGCCATGATGTTCTTGTTTGGTGTGATGAGACTTGCCAGCTCTCAACAGCTCTGCAGAGCTCAGACTCTCTTTCCACTAACATATCAACACACATGATCAGAGCTGCACACACACACACACACACACACATGCGCTCACATCTGTTTGTTATTGCTCACATATGGAAAAACATGCAGGTTGTTATTCAGGGTTGTTTTCAGGAGACACAGTATGTGAGCGCACACAAGACACACAGGATGCAAGAGTCAAATTCCAGAGTAAATATTGTTTATACAAAATAGTGACACTGCAGGAACATTATGACCACAGCAGGTCATGATTTGGGTCTAAAATAAATAAACTGCAGTGACATTTTCAGGGTTTGAAAGTTGCTGGAGAGATATCTGGAAAAGAATAAAAAAAATATTCAAATAAAACAAAGCTTACAAAAATAAACACAGCAAGTCTTAAGTTTTGAACATTAATGAAATCCCTCTATCTGGGGAAGCTGTCAGCCAGATGTGAAAGAATGCTGTGAATGTAATGAAATTTTGGGTAATCCATATATTGATCGGTTGTCAAGGGAGTAAAGGAGGCTCCTGTCAGTAGGATGAACAGCTATATAGAGTTGAGAGTTGTCTTAATAGGTTTTAGTAGTTGTGGGCTGTCCTCTCTACCATCTCTCTGTATTCCTATCACTCTCTCCGGTCTTATCAAGAAAAACAGGGTATGTTATTTTCAAAATAAACATGTTTGCTTTCTCAATGTCACTCAATATCAAACTGAAGATTGTGTTTGACTGTGAAGTGTGAGAAAACATTTCCCTCTGGTTTATCAGCCTTACAGCTGCTTGATGGTAGCTGCACCTCACATTTTACAATGCTGTGCATCCCACATGGTTTTGAGTTGTGTGTTAAAATTATGTAATGCATGAAAGAGGACCGCAAGGTTTAAGGTAAATGTAGAATATGTCATTATTAACTTATTTCTTCTATACCGAGCAAAAATTTAAAACACTTGTTTTTGCTCCTATTTTTCACAGGTCCAAATTATAATCTAAGATTTTTTATGCACTCCATAAATATTTCTATGGGGCTTTGGTGGCTTGGTGGTAGAGCAGGTGCCCCATGTACAAGGCTGTTGCCGCAGTGGCCTGGGTTCAACTCCAGCCTGTGGCCCTTTGCTGCATGTCTCTCTCCCTCTCTCTCTCCCCCTTTCACACTTCACTATCCTATCAATTAAAGGCAAAAATGCCCATAAAAATATCTTAAAAATAAATAAATAAAATAAACATTTCTCTGAAATTCTGGTCACTAAGTTGAAAAAATAAATGTTAGTAAGCACTTCTCCTTTTCCAAGATCATCCATCCACCTGACAGGTATGGCATATCAAGATGCTGATTAAACAGTATCATTTAGGACCTCCAAATCCAGTGTCTTTACCTGCAAGATCGTCTGAGACCAGCCACCTGGACAGCTGATGCAACAATTGGTTTGCACAGCTGAGGAATTTCTGCACAAACTGTCAGGTTTTTAACAAATTTGTGAAAGCATTTGAGAGAAATTTATCTCCCGAGTGCATAGAAAAAGTCTTAGATTTATAACATACACCTGTCAAAAATGGGAACAAAAACAAAAATATTGCATTTGAATTTTTGTTCTGTGTATTTACCTTCATTTATTCGGGGCAGATTCACTACGAGGTAAACCCCGACAACACTCACTGTTAGGGTGTAGTGACATATGTACGAATGCTGGCAAGTGACCATCACCTCCCGTGGTGATATGTGTGCTGAATGTGGGTAGTGTTTATTAGCATGCTAATAAAAACAGTGAAATATTTTGTTATTGATCCATTAATCATTTTCTCACGTCCTGTGCCAGCCGGGCAGCAACTCTCCTGTGGGTCAGTTTGGATTTTTCACAGCCAATATCATACAATATTAGCTGGTTAGACATGGCTACAATCAATGTTTCCTCCACACAGTCTTCTTTGGAATTGGTTGATGCTATGACTTCACCGGTCAAAGTTCACTAAAGTCAAACTCCATGCAATGCAGAGATGTGAATTTGCTTTGCCACTGCAAGTGAATGTTTTATCCACCTCTTTGCTTGCACTGAATCACAGTGAACGGGAGATGAATATTTGCCAATGTTAATTTTGTGCATGTGTGACAGTATCCTTACAGACCTGTATCTGGAAGCTTCCATGTACAACCACAATGACCTGTGGGACACTGAGCAGCTCCACTGGAGCAGCTGGGAGTTGAGGGTTGTAATGAGAGAGAGGCAAGCACTACATTTCTCCCCACACAGATTTGTCTGTGGTGTGTCGGGGATCAAAACGGCAGTGAAAAGCTTGATTCTCTAAACTTTTTCTGTCTTTTGTAAAATGAGACATTTTTTCCAGCTGATGTGATGTCGTATTTTAGTCAGTAGTGATATGATAACAAAAGTAACGTTTTAACAAGGTGTTTGATTTTAGAGTAACTGTAATATTATTACTGAAGTTTTATTAGTAATTAGTTACACTACTCATTACTGGAAAAAGTAATTTTACTACTGTAATGTGTTACTAGAAATGTGTTACTGCTCAACACTGCTAAAAATACCCTCTAGCATTGGTTTTCATTCTCAACAAGGTGATAATGGAAAGAGTTCAGACTCGCCTTTTCCATGTCAGTGAAGTCATCATCAAGCTTCGTTCCCTCTGCTCCTCCAACCTTCTCACTCACTTTCTGCAAAACAAACAAAATGAAAGAAAAACATGTTAGGGGTTTAAGCTTTCATCAGCTCGACAAAAAGATAATACTGTGTCCAGACGGGTCAATCCCTTTGCTCGATACTGAAATGACATGACAGGAAAAACACCTCAGCAAAAATATATTGACGATTGGTTGAGGAAGCATCCTCAAAGGGAACTGTCATGGACAATCTGCACAGATACAACAACCACAATATTTTTTTTGTCTCTCAGACTGTTGGGGACACAATGGAGATGTTTTAATTATTATATTAAGTATGTATTTAAAACTGTAGCCTGCCTCACAGGTCAGTGAGATGACAGATAACGAGTCAGACACTGTTCTACAGTAAATTACACGTTAGGTGATTTGCAATAAGAGAGTGGTTTGCCCTGTCAGCAGATGCAGTGTGAACCAGCCCATGTCTGCGACATCACAGGGTCACAGCCTCTCGTTCCAATTAAGATAATGTCAAACAACAAATGCACAAACATCATCTTGACCTTGAGCTTCACATTACAGAAACCCATTTCATTAATGATCATGCTGCGATGTGAGCCTCACCTCTCACTGCAACAACACCGGTGCTCACGGATAACAACGTCAGGAGTGTGTTAGTGATCTTCACATCATTGGTAATGATCTTAAACGGATTAGAAGTGGCATTAAAATGATATGCAGTGCATCTGTAGAACTGCCAAACACTTTCTACAGCATGAGCTTGTAGATTGAGACCTCTTCAGATTAAGCAACGTCTACTTTTGACCCCTTGTAGTAATCTGTTTTTAAGTAATGGACAGTTAAGATTCATTTGATATTTTTAGAGGACTGAAAAGATAGAAATAAGGTGCAGTATTTAACAAGAAAAAACACCAACAATAAGAGAAAATAAACATAATTGTGTGTTGCAAAAATATGTTTTCACATCACCATTTTAATCATCTTGTGACCCCTCAGATTAACTCCTCCGGTGCCACAATAACTTAACTTGTGTGAGAATATATGCTGCTTACCTAGGCACACTCATTCATGCCTATATATTCTTATGCACATGAACCTCTCTAACTCAGTCTAGACTCGAGATGACAGTCAGTCTGTTAGCTCCCGCCTCAGACATGTCAGCGTCAGGCTCACTGTTTAGCACTGCAGAGATTCTCAATCACTGCTGCAGACAGTCGCGGCAGTTGAGAGGAAGAGATAAAGTCTGTGCAGCAACAAGCTAGGAGCGTCAGCCCTTATAGCTTCAGACGCAGCACAGATCCATGTGCACAGACGTAAACACAGAAATAACTGCTTTTTTCTTTTTTTTTATTTCCAGCTCTGCCACCATCCCGCTCCAGTCTGTGATGTAACCAGATGGCTTAAGGGGGGCGGCAAACTGACACAACGAGGCCAGACAAGGCCCTCAGAGGATGGACTGAGGGACGGGAAAAAAAGCTTTCAGGGAACGTCACAATGCGTGACTAAAGAAACCATGCAAACTAAGGTCAGTGGAAGTCTTTCCTCGAGTAACACGCTGGAAAATCACACTGTACATGTGCTTCTTTTTATGCGTTCGTTCTCCTCTTGGGGCTGAATTATCGTCTCATTTCAAACTGAATTTAAAGCTCCTAAAATGGAGAAGTAGACGCAATTAAGCTTGTTAAAAGTGAGGAAGTGAAACATGAGAGGGGTGATCTGTGACAGGCAGCACAGGGCAGGTTTATAAGACTAAGCCTGTGACAGCAGTTTATGCAGCGTAAGACTTTCTGAGGATCGGCGCTCTATGACTCATCTTAGCAAAAGTGTCTTCTGATCCCACTTGTGAAACGGCTCAATATTCTGACAGCGATACAAAACACACACACACACAGCCACATTTCCTGTCATTAGCTTCACCTACACATCACTACAATGTCTCCAAATCCTCCTTGAGCTGGTTGCCATGGAGACAAGTACCTGCCCATGCTTGGCTTATCGGGTACAGTGTGTATGTCTCAGCCTCTTTAACTTCCTGTTATTTCTCTCACTGCGTTTCTCTTTTCTGTCAGACCTGATAATAATAAAGCAAACACCCCGATGTCCGAGCTGTTAAAGACAGAGGTGTACATGTGAAATGTATGGCTGTGAAATAACACAATGTATTCTACATGTCTCACATGGTCCACGTTTAATGTGTGTGCTTGTGAGCTGCACCTGCGCCACCATAAGCAGTGGCAGTAGTGACACTTCTGGTGTTCATCCGAGCAGCCTAATCACATACTGTACTATATTTCACCTGGGATACAATACGACTGCAGTTATGCATAATTATTACCTGGTTTTAGGTGTACGCATGCAGAAAAATGACGGCCTCCTTTTAGATAGAAAGTGCTAATTACTTAAAAACACTGAGGCCCATATGCGTCACACACACAGGCTTTAATTATTCATCTGAGCTGAGATATTAACAAAAAGAAGGATAACATCCAAAAGGTAATAACATCAAACTAATCTTGTTTTTTCGTAACATGTAGCTGCGGTGAGTCATGGCCGTACCTAATGACACAGTCACTATTCTGCTGCTGTTAAAGGATATTACCAATTATCCTTTCTCTACAGAAACAATGTATCTGATGATTCATGTTTAACAGCAGGCTCAACAGACGTGTGTGCTTCAAGGTGACTGAGATTTATATAACACTGTTCATTTTATGCAGTGTTACATAAATTTGAGGAGGAGAGTAGGTTTCTTAGACATAAATATACATTTTACATGAGTGCTTGACTTGGAAAGAAAAGGTAGCAGTACTCCAGGGACTGGAGATTTAAGGATGTAAATTCATAACTCTTACTTAACTAACTAGTCCATACCCATTGGTAGCTTTGTCACCTTCTACCTATGCCAATCCTCAATGCCTATGTGCAGTTTCACATAGATTGACCACATCAGTGAGTAGAAAAACGTAGGACAGACAGAATGACTGACTGATAGAATGACACACTGACAGTTTCCGTGATTATGTACAGCATACCATACCATGACTTAGTCATACCAAAAATTAGAAAACCCCCCCAAACATTCGGCCACAGGGGGAGCCACAGCGATCGGTCACATTTTAGCCATGTTTAAGCATTTTTCTGTTGTTATAGCGCCACCCAGTTGCCAATTAGAGTTAAATTTCTCCAGTCACCTTGAGGCGTCCTGTTCTACATATCTACCAAGTTTAGTAAAAATCGATATGGCGGTTAGGCCTAGATAAGAAATTAGCTCTCTAGCGCCCCCATTTTGTTTGCTGGGGTCAATAATGGAGGGGTCCCCTCAGATTATGTGTGATCATATGCCTACAAAGTTGCGTGGTGATCGGTGAAACCCTTGAGATGTTATACACCTTTATGTGATGAGCCACGCCCTCCGCAATATTCATTGCCTTATAGAAGCTCAGTTTTAGTAAGTTTTCCAACTTTTGCCAAGAGGGAACTTTAGATATTGGTCCCTAGATTGTGTTCACCCAGTTTCATGCAGATCGGTCAAACTTCCTAGTAAGAGATTGATTTGAAGTGTTTTTCAAAAAATTCAAAATGGAAAAAAATATATATAACAAGAAGTTATGGGTTCTTGAGGCAAATTTGTTCCTCATGAGGAGAGGCATCTCTGTGCAAAGTTTCATGTCTCTACGACATATGGGGCATGGGCAATATTTTGTGGCATCCCGTCACTGCATCGCATGACAAAGGGGCAGAAATTAACACGTCCACCCATGTGTTGTATTTCCACCACCACCGACAAAGGATGCTCTGAGCTGGAGCCAATAAATACTTGTGACTACTGCAGAGTCATTTGTCCTGGGAATTACTGCAGACTCTAACCTTTCCCATTAAATACCCAAGCCAGATGTTAGTGGGTCTTTTTGTCCACTGAGATTGAAGCTGAAGTACTGGGGAATGTTTGACGGCTTCTTTTTACAAATGAAAGTGATACAAAGTGATTAATTAAATATCAAGATAGCTGCAATCAAATTTTTCTGTACAATGATTTCAGCTACAGTACGCATTATTAAACAGTTTACCTCCCATACTTGTCAGACTTCATGCAGACCACTTATGGACAGAGGCACATCGAGGAATTAGTGGAAAATCTCTCTAAGCTCTCAATTTTCCGACTGAGCTAGAACACATATTGTTCCTCGCACAGCGACACATTTCTGTCTCTTATCTTAGCTTGTTTGAGCACGAAACACAATAATCACACCATGAATACTTTCATTCATCGGAAAGTGTAGGTACTAGATAATAAGCCTCTAAGTAGTACGTGGAGGTAATAAGGATCCAGCTGGTAGACAGAAACCTTGTGTGCAGATACTAAGAACAGGCTGATGGAGGAGAGCACCAGCAACACTTCTGAGGACCAATACTGAATGTTACAGCAGTACGGGATTTGAAGTGATGCAGAAAGACTCACCCCACACAGTATTCAAAGCTCTACTTTCAGCCTCATCTTATTTGTGTGTGTTTGAGTCTGTGTGCGTCCCATATCTATGATTTCTTTGGCTCAGAGTTTGAGAGAGTCGAGGGAGTCAGACTCAGTGCAAGTCAGTTATTTCTTGAGCTAAATGGATGAAAAACAACTCAGTCGAGCGGTGCCTGTGGGGACATGGGTATAGCTTGGCAGGAGAGGAGCAACTGAATGAATAAAAATGAGCCGTTGGTGGCTGTTTGGAGTAAGTGGAACAGCGCTGCTGTGCACGCTGCTGCTGCCCATGGCTGCTGTCAACGCATGTTCAACCCCCCGACACATACAAAGTGGAGAGCAAAGACAGAGCTGGTGTTTGGCTTTCAAAGCTGCAAGCTGAGGAGACAGCAATTTAGTACAGTGATGAAGGGAGATGCGTGTCAGGATGAACATGCACATGCTCAGAGACACTAAAGGACTGTATAGTGTGTCACAGCTAATAACTGTGGGACTGATGATTGATCCTGTACTCGCAGTGAGTTACTACACACCAAGTTAATGTGACCCATGACACCAATCTTGC